CCCCCCGCCCGCCGCCCCCCCCCGCAGAGAAGGCGCCACGCAGCTGTACAAAGTCGGCTTTATTCGTCCCTCTCGCTCGTCCACAGTGACGTCCCGCGGGCTTGGGACCAGGTCTAGACAAGGCCGCGCGTGATCCGCCGGGCCCTGGGCGGGGCCGCGGGCCGGGCCTCCTCTGCCTGTGCGGGGCGGGGCGGGGGGCGGTGCCCTGCGGGCATCCCGCGTCCCCAAGGCTCCCCAAGCCCCCGGCCCGGACCCGGACCCGCAGCTCGACAGCAGGGACGGCTGCGCTTTGGTCCCAAGTACAGTGAGAAACTAAACTGCGGCCAGACGCGGAGCTGTGCCCAGAGCGCCGGGGCTCCACTGGGAAAAGCCACCGCACGGGCCTTCACAGCTGTGCCGCCATGCAGACGGTGAGCAGCAGCCCCTGCGCCCAGGAGGTCGGAGGGCGGGCCTCGGAACACCCACCCCTCTCTCGGGGCCCATCGGAGAGCTAACACTGGCGGGCGTGCTGGGGATGGTCCGAGGCCAGGTGCCCAGGATCCGCTTCCAAGCCTCCAGCCTCGCCATGTGGCCAGGAGGAGGTGCGGACCTCTGCTTGTGCTTCCTTCTGGTTGGCAGGGAGCTGGGAGCAGGGAGCCAGGCATACTGCAGCTGCATGCTGCAGGGGCCAGGATCAAAGGTTTACAGGGAACTAATGGTCAACTGGCCACCATGACCCTCTGGCAGTCACCTCATTTCTACAGGCTTCTGCCAATGCCACAAGAAAAAGAATAATTTCAAACTGGAAAATCTAGCACTTTACACAGTGGAATGAAAGGATAAGAAATTTAAAAAGCATCATTAAATCAAGTCCATGTGCCACAGCTGCGCGCTCCACGGGGCACGCTACCCCCCCGGTCCACGGAAGCTGAGGCTCAGAACAGAAGGGCTCCCATGCTGCCCACCTCGCTCTGCTCCTTCACGAAGATCTCGAAGTACTGATAGATGATGGTCACGGCAAGCAGGATCCCAGTTCCAGAACCGATGGCACCTAGGAAGTCCGCCAGGACCGAGAGGGCCCCGATGCACAGCCCGCCAAAGGCCGCGGCTGTGGGGATGTACCTGGGGGTGGCAGTAGGCAGCCTGAGCTCAGCCCGGGTCCCTGCCTGGCAGATCCCCCGCCGGCCACTCCCTGAGCAGGCCACCTGGACTCGGGACACCTCAGATGCACACAAGGCGTGGGCCAGTCTTGCCCTTGCCGAGTTGCTGTAAGATGAAATGCTGCTCAATGTATGTTGAGGATTTATCTAAAGGTGAGTGGAGTGGATGGTCTGGGCTCCGGCTGGGCACAATTACAAGGTCAGCTGGAGTTTCCTGGCTGCCCACATGGCCCATCAGGACACCTGCCCTGCCACCTGGCTCTGACGGTGTTGAGGAGCATGGCCTGTGCACTGGCAGCTTTCCAGCGACAGTGGCACCCATGCTCTTGGGACAGAAAGCCTGCACCATGTGCCACACCACCGAGGTCAGTGCCACGTCCGTCCAACTGTCCTGCAGCCTGAGCCACCCTCCGATCCCGACCTTTCTCCTCTCCCCCTAGGGGGCAGGACAGCTGCACCTGGCAACCACCTCCTTGGCACCCCCACCACACACATGCCACTGCCTGGCCCGATGGCCGCCCGGCCCGGGGGCCAGCAGCACCACGCCGTGCCCAGGGCCGCTGGGGCCGCACTCACCGGTTGAGCTCGTGGACCATGGAGGTCTCCCGGTGGCCCCTCATCACCATCTGCTGCTCTTTGAGCTGCTTGGCAACCTGCAGACAACAGCCCAGAGCACTCAGGGGGGCTCTTAGGGGCACGACAAGCCCCCACCCCCAGGCGCTCAGAGGCAGTGACCACTGTCACTCTGTCCCTCCAAGGGGAGGGCCCCCCCGCGCGTGGCAGCGCTTCCGTGGAGCGCTGGCTTGTACTCACATCCTTGGCAGAGGAGCCCGAGACCTCGATCCATGTTTTGGAGAAGAAGGCGCAGGAGCCCAGCATGAACACGATGTACACAGCTGCGTGGACAGGGTCCTCCAGCACGGAGCTGAACGACTCTGGAGGGGACAGGTAATAGCACAGGCCGCCGACAGGGTAGGCACGCGCCGGGCCCCCGGAAGACGTGTCCTGCACAGAGATGGACTTCAGCGTGCTGGCTCACACGCAGGCATGCATACATGCACCAAGCACCCAGAGGGGATGGAAAAGTGCTAGCTAGGCACTGAAGGCTTGGAGGCTGAGATGGGAGAATCAAGGTTTGAAACCAGCCCAGGCAGACAAATAGACTCATTATCTCCAATTAATCAGACAATCAAGACCACGGCTCAAGCATAGAGCACCAACCCTGGGTGAAAAAGTTGAATTAGAACACGGGGTGCAGGGCTCACTCCCAGCACCAGCACAGAAAGAAAAGAAAGTAGAGAAAACCGTGAGCTAATTTTCTAATTAGGAAAAACCAATGAGTGGAATATTTGGCCACAGCAAGACACATAGCGGCCAGACACCGCGGCGGCCACACTCACCGACCACGTGCCCAGCAGGCTGACCAGCAAGTTCCCGCTGAAGCGAGCGGACAGCATCTGGGAGATGACGTAGAGGTTGGACACCAGCGCGGACTGCAGGATGATGGGGATGTTGGAGGTGTAGAAGAGCTTGATGGGGTAGGTGTTGTACTGGCCACGGTAGCGCGCCGACTTGATTGGCAGGTCTACACGGAAGCCCTGCGAGAGGACAGAGCATGTCTGCTGTGCACAGTACCCGGAAGAGGCTGCCCGGGGCCTGGGTACTGGTCCAACTGCAAACAGACACTGGGCCTGTACAGACTAGCGTGCTCCTAAGCACACATCTGATGAGCAAGACCCGCACAAGAGAACCATGTGTTTGACCTTCAGGAAGAAACACATGGCTCCCCACAAGCGTTCTTTCAACAGCCGAACTCCCCATGCTCCTGCCTCTGACCCGGAGTGCTAGGGTGCAGGGTGGCCGCCCGGCCAACTGCCGTGCTCTCTCCAGTCAACACCGGGAGGCAGGACGCTAGCTCACATGAGTCAGGAACTGGGAAGCAGCTCGGCTGTGAGCCTGATGGTTCAGGAAGGGGTGGAACAACCCCCACCACCACCTCCCCCCCCCCTCCCGGGGCACTGCGTACCTGGAAGTAGATGACCACGGCAAAGACAAAGATGGTGGCGATCAGATTCATGAGGTTGGGGAGGTTCTGGCGGTAGAAGGCCTCTCGCAGTGCGCGGACTTTGTCGGTGCGCGTGGCCAGCAGGTGGAAGAGTGCTATGATAGCGCCTTCGAACTCCATTCCTGCGGCAAAGGAGGGCACACGTGGAGAGGAACAGTGTGGACACAATTGCACAGCATCCACCATGACACCGCAGGGAAGGAGGACTTCTGGGTCATTTTCTTCTGTAAAGGACTCGGACTACAGCTGTGAACTGAGCGAGTGACTCCGCTGTGTGGGATGATGGTCCCTAATTGAGAAGTCCCCACCGCAGAAGTGCAGAACTCAGCCAGAAGGGGTAGCGCCCTTTCCCAACTGAAAGGCTGAGAGCAGCTGCCCCGGCCAGCGGCTCAGGGATCCTGCCCCATACACGCTTGCCCACACGTGGTCCAAGCCAAATGGGAATCTATGCCCTACACAAGATGGTGCCAGAGGAGGCGGGCCGGTGGCAGGGCGCGCTGCCTGAGGTTCAGGAACAGGCAGACAGATGAGTCCAGGAGAGCTGGGCCCAGTGCCTGAAGGCCCAGACATTTTAGGAATGAAGGAGAAATTTAAGATAAAAGCAAATCTCTCTCACCTTTGGTTAGCAACGTCCATTTCACCTGCACAGAACCATGCACCGGGGGCCAGAGCCAGGGGCTGCTGAGTTCAGAGGAAGCCGGGGCAACTTGGGGGGCAGAGGGGAGGGGCCTGCTCCCCCTCCTCCCCCCCCACGCTCCCCACCTGCTCCCGGCCAGGCACGCTCGCTCATTCTCCCCTCACCATTTTCAGAGCTTTCCTTGACTGTGGGTGAGGCCCTCCCACAGTACCCAGCATGTGCCTCCCAGGACCAGGGAGGACCTGTGGGATGGAGGCTGGCTGACACCGTCAGGTTAGATCCTACCTCTCCTAACTTCTAATTATTTCTTAAAATTCACTACCTGCCCAATCTCCAGGAACGAGGCTCTACCTGTTAGCGGTGCCTGGGCACAAGCTGTTCCATGCCCGGCTGGTTATCCCCACTGCCAGGAAAGCAGCAGCGGTCAGTCTGCCTGAGTCTCCTTCCCCAACCACCGACCTGTGCCCGCCCCTGCCGCTGGAGCAGCCCTCGAGCGCCCCGCACCATGCCGTGCCATGCCGTAGCGTGGCTGCGAGCTGCCAGTGCCCCTGCTCCTGCTCACCTGCCGGCCCAACCATGCCGTCCCTGGCTGTGCAGCCAGGAGCCCCTCCCTAGAATACCTCTGTTCCCCATTCCCCAGGGCCGACACTGCGCCACAGCACCACACACCTCTCCACTGCCATGAAGGCAGCCTGGCCTGCCGGGGCCTGGACAGCAGATCCACCCTTCCCATCCCCTGCCTGCTCCTGTCCGTCCAGTCTGGCCCTGCTGCTGCTTCTTTCCAACAGGCACTCCGAGGCTAGAGGCAGTCCTGCTCGCCTCCGCTACAGAGCCCCTGCCTCTCCCTTGCACGTCCAGCTTGCAAGCCTGGCCCTGGACCCCAGGCCCTCCTGGCATTCCTAATGCCATACAAGTGACCACGAAGAACGGCATCTCATCCTGCCTCTTCTCTCTCAATGGCTCCTACCACAAGTGAAACATCACCACCATCATTTCCTCCTCTGGAGACACAAGTGCACCCAACTCCAAGAAAATACGTTAACGTGCACATGAGTGTCCCTCAGAGGACCCTTCTGACTAACAGATCAAAAAATTAACCAAGCCTTTCTTCTCACAACCGCCTTCCTCGCACTAATCGGTATGTCTACTAAAAGCACTTCTGAAATAAGATTTCTGAGGCACTAGCAGATAAAACGCAGCAAACCACGCCATGCGTCGGCACCATGGGCAGTGCCGCCCTGGCTTCCGGCACTTCTTACTTGGTCCTGGAAACCAAGGTTTCACAGTGGAGCTGTGTGCGGAGCACTCGGCGCCGCCGCATGGGGCCTGAGGTAGACCCCAAGCTCGGCTCCTTCAAGGCTGGGCTTGCAGGGCCAACGGACGTGGCACGGCAGTTACATCACAGACAACATTTCACCAACAGCAGCAGTGAACACACACTGCTTGTTCCCTGAAAAGCTGGGGGAAACCCAGGTGGCCCTCAGAAGACAGCCACTAAAGTGGTGCCACTTCCTTGAAATGGAGGTTCGCACTGGGAAAGGAGAAGGAGGCGGCGGCTCACATGCTGACACACCCAGCGCCAGTGAGCGGAGGGAACGGGCCTGCACACACCTCGGCCAGTGTTGACGGTGGTGGGGCTGAAGGCCTTCCAGACGATGGTCTCACAGATGTTAGTGGCGATGAAGAGGGAAATGCCAGAGCCCAGCCCGTACCCCTTCTGCAGGAGCTCATCCAAAAGCAGGACGATTAAGCCAGCCACGAAGAGCTGTAAAAACCAAAGACTGTGGGTCAGTGTTCCCAGGGGCACAGGTCCCTCCTGCCTCAGTAATTAGATTCTCAGTACAAACTTGAAGCTGCTCGGTGTGTCCTCAGCCTCCCTCTGGTGGAGTCTCCAGCAACAGGCCCGCGGCCGCTCGGTTGCGACTCACCGTCTGGGGTGGCTCGGCCCTTACCTGGATGGTGATCAGCAGGCAGATCCCGGCGCCCATCTCAGAAGGGTCTCCATACATCCCCGTCATCACATACACAATGGACTGGCCGATGGTAATGATCATGCCAAATACTGCGTGTCGGGAGACGGGCGTGGCTCAGTGCAAACAGCTGGGTGGGGGGCGTTCCCACCCACAGGGCAGGCGGCTGAGGCCTTGGCCTCGGCCTGCTCCTCAGGCCAGCCTTTCCCCAGGCCATTCCATCACAGGTGGAGGAGCAGGGCTCTCTGTGGGTGCTCCTAACCACAGCCCCACCACCCCGGTCTAAGTGCAGAACTTGGGGACAGCACAATCCCACTCTAAGTTCATGATTTTCTAAGTATCTATTCTTAAAGGGGAAGCCTCAGAATGCCACCCACTTGGTTCTCATTCACTTCCTCCGCTCTTTTGCCTAATGGAGTGTTTATGGACGTTGCTTCCTGCATCTCGTTTTTACTGGAAGGCATGGCCACGCTTTACTGGGCTCTCCATGTTAGGTCTCTCAAGTGCATGTGGGCTTTAATTTAAATTTTTCTATTTAGTCTACCACCTGATATAAAATTGTTCAAATATCCATAAAATAGAGGTCCTACTTAACTGTTTTTTTGTTTTTTTTTTTTTGGCAAAACAAGTTTGAACTCAGGGCCTTGAGTCTGCGGGACAGGTGACCTCCCAGGTAGGGTCGCATGCTTTAGGCCCAGGCCTGACTGAACCCCAGTCCTCCGACACCGACGATTTTTTTTTTTTTGGATGAGATGAGACCTCACTATTTGCCTTGACCAGTTCAGTCCTGTCCACCTTCACCTCTGATAGCTGAATTACAGACTTCAGCCACTGTCTGGCCCTATGTGACTTTCCTAAGTCCTTTTTACAACTTCCCCTCCTTTGCAGTGCTGGGGCGAGAACCCAGAGCCTGTGCAGCAAGCACTCTCCCATTGCTCTGGGCAACAGCTCTGAGTTCCTAGGGCAGAAAAAATAACAAAAAAATTTGCCAAGAGCAAAGAGAAAAAAAGCTGATCTGTACTTTTAAAATGGTGTTGCAAGAAGGTACCAGTGGGGCTGGGAAGGTGGCTCAGTGGTAGAGTGCTTGCCTTGCATGCATGAGGCCCTGGGTTTGGTGCCTCAGCACCACATAAACAGAAAAAGCTGGAAGGGGTGCTGTGGCTCAAGTGGTAGAGTGCTAGCCTTGAGCTGAAGAGCTGAGGGACAGTGTTCATGCCCCATGACGACCAGCACCACCAGCACCAACAAAAAAGGTACCAGAGGCTCACGCCTAACCCTAGCTACTCAGGAACCTGAGACCTAGAGGGTGGAGTTCAAAGCTAAACTAGACGAGAGAAGTCTTAAGAGACTCTTATTCATGATTAACAGGCAGAATGCCGATGTCTGGAGCACAACTCACGTGGCAAGTGTGCCAGCTATGAGCAACGAAGTGCTAAGTTCAAGGCCCAGAGCTGGCCAGCACGCACACACACGTGCACACACG